TTCTTTGTGAGCATCGTGCAGGAGTTGATACGGAGAGGTCAGAAATAGTTCTAAGAATTCTATCAAAAATTTCTCAATGTTGAAATTTGAATGCTAAAAAACGTGGCGCGCTATCAGCTCTGATGAACGTGTGTACACATGATTGTGCCATCCCTTATGCTCACAAGAAACGTTGGATTATACCGTGCCCGATATCATATCGTTTGTTCTCCCGCTGATCACTCAGAAGAAAGACAACTCACTGACAGGAATGGCCATCTACTTCGTCTCATGAAGTGTGTTGTTGCGCTTAGACCGCGGATATGACAGTACCGGTGGGTAGCAGTTTCGTACCCAGGATTTCGGCTCGGGGGGGGGGGGGAGACAAAAACAATTTTTCCGATGAAAATGCTTGACGTCAGCCGCGCACTTTGAAAAATTTTTTGGGATGGCCCTTGAAATTTTCGCGGGTTCAGAACCCCAAAATTTCAGAAAAAGGGGGCGTGACGTTATAAGGTTAAAATGAGTTTTTTGAAAATTTTCAAAATCATTTCAATTATTTACAAGTACAGACAAGTCATTTGCACAATTTTGCAACCCCTGTAAGTAACTTTCGAAAATTTCGCAACCCGTTCTCGGCCCCCCCCTCGGTACGCCACTGGTGGGTAGGCATTTGCGCCTCATCAATATCTTCTTAGATTTTTGAGAAATAGAAAAATCAGGTTGGCTAAAAATAATTTCGGTAGGTTTTAACGGTTGTAAAAATTTCACAGATAAATTCGTGTATAAATGTTCGGTACGATGAAAGAGTAAATCAAGGAAAATTGGATGGTTAACCTGTTTGCTCAAAAATAATTTTTTGCGGGCGAAATGGTGCAGGAAAGCAAAAAGCTAGATTCTTCCGTCAAACTTCCGAAAAATCGTTATTGAAAAACAAACTGAAATTGAATGTGAAGAGCACGAATATATTTATGAATATTATAATATACTATACTACTATTATATTATTTATTATTATCAATATAACATTATGTTATTATTGTTGTGTTAGTGATTGAAATTGATCAGTTGTTTCTCATAGTAATCTATTCGCCTCGCGTGATCGCCAACCTCAGAGTGCGCGGAAAATGAGCGCTATAAAAGGCGCTCACTCATAGCCTTAGCCGGTTCAGTGTTCAATCATTCGCCTCTCACATTCTACTGTTTTTTTATTATTTTTCTAATAAATACTATTGTCTGCTCCTGTGCCGTCCAACAGTTGAAGTTTCGAAGAGTGTCCGATTGGAGGACACAACAATTATATAATATTATATTATTGAATATTATAACACGCATATTATAATACGATCTTGATGATCGCAACCATTTGCTAGGCCACAGGTAGTCTAATTCAGGCGATTTGAATTGACCGAAAACTGGCTTCCAAATGCTGATACCTGAAAAATCTTATATTTTTTGGCTGCAGAGATACACAAGCAGAACACAGCACTGCATTATGGTTTGCCATGTAACAGGTTTATGTATTCACTCAACAAATTACTCGTCTGTGCACTTACTACAAGCTGAAATCGAAGTTCGGAAATTCAGAAAAGTGCTAACCATATGAGATTATAACTGTCTTTTATCACGTTTGAGAATCCTATGGGATGAGTGTGTAATAGTAGAAGTCTGAAACTACCCGTACACAATGAAGTATAATCTAATAACAGTTACTTGAATTTTTATTGTGCTTTGAAATTGCAAGCTAAGAGGAATAAATTTCATAAGCCAACCTAATATAATAAGAGTGTGAGAGAAATTCTCCATCAACTAGTACCATGACCATTTTTTAGATGCAAAATTGTTGGTAGCAGTTTTATTCATGAACTTTTCTCGTAAGCGCTCGCACAAAGTTTGTTCATTACAAAAAATTAGATTATGAACAAGTTCACAATACTCGAGGTTGTTGGAATATGAAATTTAACTATCCTTACTGCGCAAATGAATTTGTGGGAGTTGGCGCTCGAAAGTAGCCTCGTAAAGTAAATTACCTTCAGTTAGTTATTAGTTTGATGCATAATTCCTGCGCCCAAACTGGTAGTTGGTGTTTTTCCTAACGATAGCATAAACGTGCTCGATGGAGCAAATGCAACTTTACAAAAAGAAAAGTTTAAAAAAATTCTACAATAAAGTTTTCGGACTTAAACTTTCTTTGATTCACGCGAAGTTTGAAGGCAAAAGTTAGAAACTCAAAAAGCCCGAAAGATTGAGAAATAAAATCAAAAATTCCGCCGAAAAAAATTTCCATGGGAATCCTATTTTCACGCTTTTATATGTTCCATATCAAACGTTCAAATATGCTGTTACCCCACTGAGAAGACCTACAAGCCCTCAAGAGTTAATTAACGCGTAATTTTAGTTTTTCAAAAAACCTGGCTTTCAAAAAATAACAAACCTAGCTATCCTTGCCTAACTTCTTTATGCCAAAGGCCAAATCTGACATATCTAAAAATAATCAGCTTTTGTATAAGCCCGGAAATCCACCGTTCTACTTTTAAAGGACTATAGTGCACAATCGCTAGTGTAGGAACCACTTAGCATTACTATACGAATTATTCGCACTCGTATTCATTTGCCGTGCTAAAAAAGCAGTGGCTTAGCGGCCGATCAGCTGTGTTCCCCACAGCTTATGTTTATGCATTTGTTATCAGTTAGCATATCAGTAGATTCCTAGGCGTTTGTTTATGTCTCATCGTATATATAAGCTGAGCACCATGCTAGCCATTTAGTTGCCTGAGTTTTACAGCTCGCTTTACTACTAACGCACAGAACAATCACAGGGTCACAGAATATCACAGGGTCACAGAATAATCACAGTAACACAGCACTCACAGAATGTCAACTTTTGTCTAACCCTAGGTAATCGTGCTAGTAGTATTATTGGCATTATATTAGTGTTATCTACAATTCGTAATCGCTTGTGTAGTATTAATAGTATTACAATAAAGGTTTAATTACCCAAGTTTGAGGTGTACTCGCTGTGCACGAAAGTCCCGCGTGGCACTTAATCGATACCCACACACAGCGCATAAAGTGCAAACAATTACTCCAAAAAAAATTTTGATTTTCTCCGTTTTTCCTCTAACCGAGGCGAAATAGGGAATTGCGTATATGAATATTCGATACGTAATGTGTACGCATGCGTGCAAACTACTTTTGTAGGTTTTTCAAACGGAGAATTTGAATTTTCCCGTTTCTACGTTCTGCTTCAAAATAGTGGGAAGGTTTGTACACCATCTCGTAGAGCACGCGTTGCGTCGACCTTTTACCCGCACCCTGTGCAGCGCCGATTTTAGCGTCTTTTTCCCATGGTACTCGCTCGTTCCCATCCAATAAATTTGTCGCATCTCTTAGTTTTGTTCTTGCTAATATATTACCTACAATTCTCTAGCGCTAATCCTATTTCTGCTTCAGATAATCCGTCGACCCAACAATACTTCTACAATATCGAATTTCCTTGCAAACATCCTGGACGTGGAAGTGTAGGTCATGGATCCAATCCACGCACTGCAGTCGATTTTGACTAGTTTGCACATTATTTGTGAGAAATTTTTTTGCTTTAAAAGTATTGTTGTCCACGGTGCGGAATTGTCTTCTGATAGTTGCTCCTTGGTGAATCAAGCTGACTTAATAGATGAGATATCTGATGATAACCTTGGCATAGAGGCTAAGCTAACCGCTGTCTTCAATATATAAGGTTACACAGACACGGCTGAGCATCGTCTCCTGCTAGATCTAAATACCTTGCCGGGCTAGGCCCAGCAAAACTATTGCGGAACAACCTAAGGACATTGTCTTTACAAGACCTAGTCCAGAGAATCTTTGTTCGCAGGGAAGTACATAGAAAGAATCAAGCATTGGTTACAAGAGCTGAATGGTTTATCGGAGTGAGGCAAAAGATCACCGACATAAATCAAGTGCAAAACTCACAGCAGGAGAATGCATTTCTGCACGGTATCTGTAAACGGGTTGTATCTTACCAAATGTCCGTTCCTTTGTGAATAAAATCGACTGGCTTGATCTCCTTCCTATCCATGATAAACATGACAATGTTTGCATGGTGAATCTTGGCTTACTCCAGCCATTCACTATTCCGATTTATGTAATGGTCTTTCGTATGATTTATCGTAGAGGTTGAAACAGGGCCCGGCAGCAGGTGGCGTTTCGACTTTTTCAAAACGAGTTCCCCTTTGACTTTCAAAAATTTCTACGATTTCCTGCTTGATGCCCAATGAACGTAAATGTAAGAAAATAGCTACATCATGCCGCATAACATTTACTGTGCAGGCTAGCAAACTCGGAAACACCTGTCGACGCTTAGTTACCAGCTGGTACACTTCAAAATCATAAAACTTACTTCTTCACTCCTCCTCTCTGCTTCCGTGATATCAGCAATGAAATTTGTTTAGCAGCACAACTTTTTCCACACTTTATCACGATAAAAGCAATCAAGGTGATCTATGTAAGATGAAAAATTTACAACATCAACTTGCATGCCGCTTATCAATTCCGCATCATACTGTCAATCACATTTTCCTAAAATGATCTGAGGTTCGGCGAGTCTGCCTTAGATGACGATAGTTACGCAATGTCATTTTTTTTCGTTGTTCCATTCTTCAGCAGAGTTGTCATCAAACATGCGGGAGAAGCAACCTGGAACTTCTAGTTTCAAACGAGCTTCAGGGTCTCTAGGCTATATTACCTGCTAGTGACCATTTCCGTAAAATTTCATACCAAGATTTTGCAAATTTCGAACAGAATTAAAACTAAGTACAACATCCTCCGTGGCATGACTGATACCGAAATCAACGTAATGACTCAAAAGACACAGATAACTTCTATAAAAGAAAACAGAACACACCTCCTGCTCTCGGTAAGCATAAATGAAACATCGGAAGTGGGGAACGCTAACATCTGTTGAATTCTGCTTACCACATGAGCAGTCACAAGTCGAATCGACATGATACTGCCGCCAACAATTCTCAAGAATTCTTGATCACCAGAAGATCAAATACTTCTTGAGAAATGTGAGATATAGGGACACTGGAATCCAAACTGATATATAGTGCTATGTAAAGCAATCGTAACCATAGCAGACGTTACCTTGCCCTTCGAACAGAATTTTGCCGATATCTTCTGAGATATGTTGCTTGTATGCGGTAGGGGTTCTGCACCATCAAAAAAGTTGGGAACGTTTGCAGATATGGGCGGAGAGTGTTCAGAAGCCTGAATGAAGGAAGAGCACAGACAGAAAACAAAAACTTGATGAAGTTAAAGGAAGTAATTCATGAAAATATGATGGTATTTTCCAAACTTATAGCGGCTCAATCTCAAATAAGTTCTCACCTTGTTTTCTCCACCTTTTCGAGGCCTCGATGAATTGCAGGTCCTTCATCAGAACTTTCGTGTATCATTTTCCTGCATTTTCGACGAGCCAATGAGACCTGAAGTAGAGAGATGGTCAGTATAACTCTAAAGAAAAAAATCTGAGCAATGAACTAGATCATAATAGGGAATAGTTTCGTAGGCCAATCAACACTCTACATTGAATCAAGTCTTCTGCCAAGCAGGCAAACAACTTCAAATCGTTTTGAACCCTGCGCCTTATGCGCTTCACGGCTGATAAAACATCGTGTTCGCGCCCATGGCTTCTTCGACTTCGTTCGGCAGTAAACGTTGGTTCAGGTGAAAACTAGCAGCGAGAAAGCGACTACCATGAAAAAGGCCAATAACAAAATAAGAGATCATTACATCATCATGTAATAATATCATTGCTTTTCAGAAAAGGTGAAAAGAGTAGAGTTATGAATTCCTCAAATGGCAAGTTTTGATACTCCCGGCAGCCACCTCTACTTTGAGACAGTGGCATCAAATGTCATCATCATCCACCTTTTGAACACAGGTGTGATCAAGGTATATATCATCTAAAGAGAAAACATTGACCAGACTATTTGAGTTTCCATGGATGTTCATGTATATGATACTATACAGTGTATAAGTAGCGCAAATCAGAAATGATAATGATGATAACTGACGCCGAACTGAGTATCTATACAAGTAATAGATAGATAGAAGAATAATGTAAGACAGCAAACCTCATCCTCTTCTCCATAATCTCAGAGTGACCACCAGCCCTGGGTTTCTCTCCTGTTTTCCCCTTTTTCTGCGCCGCAACGCTCGTTGCTTCTACGGAACCTTCATCTGAAATCGAAACAAATAACCATGCTTGAAAATGCTAAACAAGGACAGTCTGAGAGAAATGTAAGATGAATAAGATGAACAGAAAACTCTAGGGAGATGGTTGAAGATCCAGCTGATGTTAGTGCCGTGGGATTGGAGCGCACTTTCTAATTCTACACGCTCCCATGCAAAATCTATTTGAGGCTGTAGCAAATGTAATAGTTCATGCTTTTGGAAGCGGATTTGTGGTAGTAGTAACACTTTCAACCTAGTTTACATTTATGTCAAGAAACTCAGAAAATTATGTGAGCATAAGCAGGGAGCCACCCCAGGTGGCTCCCAGGTGGCGCGGGAGCCACCTAATTTGGAAAAACAATTGCCATTCCCTGAGTTCACATAAGTTTTTCATAATTTTTCATACATTGTTTCCACTCCTTGCTATCTTATCGTGCACCAAATTTGGTGTCATATCGTTACCTAATTGTTGCAAACGAGCCTAATCTTTGATTTTTCGTTCCAAAAAATTCCTATTTGAACTCCCGCGTGCTCTTTTGAGGTTGCTTGCGAACATTTGATGGGCAATGGGGCACATTAACGGCGAAGGGGGGCGAGAAAGGATACACTGCTTTGCAAACAGTGTCTGTTTTTGAAGTATAAAGCGGACATATACGTATATACTTATTGTCATTAGAACTGTAGAGTATCTTGGGTAATTCGAGATTTCTTCATCGAATGAATGAATATCGAATAAATTCGAAAATAGAAAATCTCGAAAATAAAATTTGATTGCTAAATCACTAGCGTCGATATATATGCAGGTATCTGCAATGTAGCATCATTCTTCAATTAATTTCTCCATTTCGTTTTCCTCTTCAAATTGCAAACGTCATTTGAGAAGCAAATCTTACGCCCTGTGAGAGAAATAAGTCTCAATAGAATCTTTAAATTGTGATAAGGCTTAGTAGAAAGTTTGATTCTCATACTTTGGATGGAAAATGAGTTACCCGGAAGTGATAAAAATCATGAATATCGGTCTCCTTGACTGAGTAGATTGAAGTGCCGTCTACAAACATTATATGTCGATTACTGCCTACCTTGATCGTTAAGAACAAATTCCGTAAATTTTGAAGATAGAGCTCTGATTTTGAAACTTTTTTCTTCAAAAGTAATTTTTAGTGTTCGGAGTCTATCTGGAATGCACGATAAGCTCCCTTACCTATATTGAGTTTCTTCAATTCTCTTCACTTTGAAGAATACGAAAAGTCAAGGAGAAACCCTATCCTGCTCTGTTGCAAGATCATGATACACTTCGTCAATTTTCCGAACAAATTAGAGTGTTGAAACACTCCACCGAAAATTCTCATAAATGTTTAGTGCATGAGGGTGCTGATGCATTTCTTTTGCTGTTGCACATCAAATTTTCCGGGGCTCCGCCCCGGACCCCAAAATACGATTTTCCCTTTGCTTTTCGTGGCCAAAAACGATATCCAGCTTGTGAAAGCGCCACCTCCGCCGGGCCCTGGGTTGAAACAGTAAACCTGAGGAGAGATCATGTGTCCTCGTCCGTGATAATATTTTATGTGGAGATCTTCCTACCCTTGTCAGAGGAAAAACTGATGTTTTGTCATTGAAAATTACAAATCTTGACCACTCTCCAAATGTATCATCTTGTTTATCGTCCTCTCTCCTCCAAGTTTCCATGAATCCTACGTCATCTATCCTTTGCACACTTTTTGTAGCAATCATTACTATGCTGTCCTAATGGTTGATTTCAACTTTGCAGTCGATTGGTTAAATATGGTGCTCCTAGATGTTTCATGTCTAGGAAAGTTTATGGCTTTTTCAGTAAGCTTTCGCTTGATCAACACTCCTCCAACCAGCAAGAATGAATAATGTGTTGCATATTGTACTTTCCTTAAACCCATTGTTAGTTGATTGGTAAGCCTCCTGTTTGTGGGTCTGATCATGCTAGCATATATTTTGACCTCTTAGTTCCTATTAACATCTCATGTCAGTGTATATTCCTATCTTGATTGCAATCGCGGTGAGCACTTAAGTGTTCCTTCCCAGGGCACTAATGATTGGTGGTCATTACCAGACGCAAGTTTGTTAGATGAAGCTTATCAGATTTGTCGGTTTGCTACACGGACTGCTTTTGCGTTTTGTAGCACATAAAAAAAGAGAAGTAAATCTTGCAATTATTCTTTGCACATCAAGAATCTAATTGAACAAAGAAAGCGTTAATTTTCTACTGCCCATCCTTGACTTTGCACGGTACAACAGAATTACTGAGGAACTATCCAGATGCTCAGCAAAGTTTAGCGCGTATAAAAGAATGCTAACAGTGATGAGCGCAATTCCTTTAATCGAATGTGTTCGTTCTTTTTTGAAAAAAAAAAACAACTGTGCAGATATTAAGGGATGACCAAGGTAACGTGATCAGAACATATCAAGAAAAAGCTGAACAGTCAAGGTGCTAATTTTTGTCTGTATTTCGAGCTCCAACAGATGTCTGGTCACGCAATAATTTGCTCAGACCTAAAATCAGATTAAGTAATTCTTTCTTTCTCAAACTCCACAAGTGTTTCCTTAAGAGATAGTGATTGTCTAAAGAAACTGAAGTCGAAAATTTCAAAGGAGTTAAGCGCGTCAATGCTGTTTCGAAGATCTGTCAGTGCTAAAAGGTCAAAAGCTTCAGATTTTGCCAAGACTTTGCACAGCGAAGTACTTTGACCTGCTTAACACGGACCTACTCTCCTGAAAGATTCCTGATTCGTTTTTTCAAAATAGCCTTCCATACATTTACCGTGACCCTCATATGCGATGGCGAATTTTGCAAACAACGTAGGTTTGTAGCTTGATTCAAAATAGAGATTGGCTTAGAATCCAGCGGTAAAAGAATTGAAAGAAATGTTAGTTGTAGTAAAATCAAAATCCAGCGATTTCGTGAATTCGAAGGAGTCAGATGCGCCAAAGTCCCTTGGAAATCCATCAATGCGAAAGATTCGGAACCGCCGGATTAGCGAAACTTTGCACAATGAGGTGATGCGACATGCTGAACACGAAATATTCATTTGTTGTCAGAAACACCAGCCCATTGATTCTTCGTCTCAGCTTTTTCGGAGCAAAATAAGCCTTTCAAGCGAGATGAATATCGTTTTCGTAATCGGGACGTCGTATAGTCCCCTTATACCAAGTTTCATCCGAATCTGTGGCTTCCTTTTTCTTTCCCATTCAAAAATTCCCTAACTCTCAAATGCGATGATGGAATTCGGTAGAAACGATTGCGTTCTTTTTTCACATGATCAGTAAAATACCAAAAAATGGGAGTGTCGCATGCAAATGACAAAAGTACAAGAATAAGTTGCAAAACTTATGTGCCAACCTATTATGTACTGCCGAAAATGGCTGGGTCACACTTACATAAACGATACTCGGTGTAATTGCCTTTTGAGATGAGAGGTAAACCATTACACTCGTCTTAAAGGCACCGTCCACCCAGTCTCTCGGCCTCCATGGTTTTGCTGTTGGGGCTCTCTCATGTCCCTGATTTCGAATACCAAGTCGAGAATCCGCGAAAACCCCTACAAACCCCGTTTCGGAGAACCCGCAGGGCGAATTGTGCAGAACGGTGATTGATTGGCTGCTTACGGACGGGTGGGACGAACGCCACGCCCACTCAAAGGGGGAGTGACTAGCGTAGCGAATCTGCCATTCGAGTTTCGAAACAATTTTCTCGCTTGGGAACAAACTTCTAGCAGCGCGAATTGAGCGAGTAAACAGCTGGGGCCAGACTACTGTTAGGCATCAAAGTCTCATCGACCACATTTTGGGTGGACGGTGCCCTTAAAACGCTGACTCCGAATCTGACTTCCATTTCTGCTGATTCTCTGATAAAAGTGAATGATTTTTGCGCCAAGTCTGGTCGCATAAAAAATACCATCGGAACTAACGGTATTGTGTAGTGGTTTAGTGCGATAGCCACACAAGCTGATAAAGGTGAGGTTCGCATCCTTTTGTGCTCTTCGGATTTGCACTGCCTCAAATAAAGGCAGCATCTAGGCAAAATCTCGACTTCTATTTTTTTGCTTTATCCAGGCCTTTTCATGGCGCTGATTCCAAATATGGGACTAAAATTTCGTGAATTACCCTAATTTCACGACGTATAAGGCGCACTTTTTCGAATTTTCAAGAGAGCAGCTCAGCCGCTTCACTGTATTTCGGGAAGAAATCCTTACATCGCACGATTCTCTCAAGCAATATACAGCACGTTATAGGGTCCTTTGGTTGTAAAATCCTTCGGCTTGTCTGGGCTGGTCGATTTTGTAAAAAAAATCCCCCGCGCCTTATATGCGTGAAAATAGGGTACTCAAAAAACCCTTTGAGACAATTTTGTGAGAAGCGTAGACGAGTGCTCTAATGTCCTTGTTGAAAGTTCAACAGGTAGACACTATATGTACCTGTGTTTGCCACGTGAAAACACGTCAAGGACTGAAGAAAGTCCGTTCGAGGGAAAGGGCCGTGCGAGGAAATGGGCGTGGTCATCGAGGCTCAGCTTTTTCTGCGGCGATTTTCTCCTTTTACTGTGGGTGTACAAAAGTCGGACTTGCGCAATAGTTCTAGATCGAGGCCCTAATACTCGATTATGATATAATAGTATTCTATAATGCCCAAATCTGCCCGGAAGCTGCCTTTAAAGATGAGTTTGCAAAATTTAGTTTCCAGCCTTATCTTATCTATAAAGCTGAATGTGTGTGTGTCTGTCTGTCTGTCTGTACGTATGTGCGGAATAGAAATTTTTATTTCTGAACCGATCGGGACCAAACTTGGCACACATATACTTCGGGGCAGGGAGCGTGTCATAGGCTACTTTTCGTTATCGATCGATATCGATTTATCGATTTTTTGCAAAATTTGAGCTACAGGGCTGGGAGTTGGCACAGGGGGGTAATCAAGCATGCTGATTACAAATATGTTATTGACAGGGCCGGGCGAAGCCGGGTTTGCCAACTAGTATGATACTATATTTTCATCACCGTATTCCTCGCATGAGGAATACGGTGATGAAAATAAAGTATTATATAAGACGGTGATGAGAAAGTCACGAACAGCTGGAATAAACAAGAGGTAATCTCTATGTTGATAGACTTATTTTGAATCACCTTTTATGAATCCGTTTCTATGCCGCTGTTTCTAAAACAACTGAACTTGTTCTTGTCAATTTGTCTTTTTGTAATAGATACAAAACGATGCTGCTATCTTATATATAAAGCTGAATGTTTGTATGTCTGTATGTCTGTCTGTACGCATGTGCGGAATAGAAATTTTTATTTCTGAACCGATTTGGACCAAACTTGGCACACATATACTTCGGGGCAGGGAGCGTGTCATAGGCTACTTTTCGTTATCGATCGATATCGATTTATCGATTTTTTGCAAAATTTGAGCTACAGGGCTGGGAGTTGGCACAGGGGGGTAATCAAGCATGCTGATTACAAATATGTTATTGACAGGGCCGGGCGAAGCCGGGTTTGCCAACTAGTATAATACTATATTTTCATCACCGTATTCCTCGCATGAGGAATACGGTGATGAAAATAAAGTATTATATAAGACGGTGATGAGAAAGTCACGAACAGCTGGAATAAACAAGAGGTAATCTCTATGTTGATGGACTTATTTTGAATCACCTTTTATGAATCCGTTTCTATGTCGCTGTTTCTAAAACAACTGAACCTGTTCTTGCCAATTTGTCTTTTTGTAATAGATACAAAACGATGCTGCTATTGTTTATGAATGTAAGATCGCATAAAGATTTTATACTTCACTATAAATATTTACTACTGAGAATACCCGTCATATTATCAGATTGTCATAATATCAAGTTTAAAGATCAGGATCTTCAACTTGCGAGAAAAGCACCTCGTTCGCAATAGTCCATTACGTTATTGATTTGCTCACAAGTAACCTGAAATGATGAGATACAAAAGTAATACTTTCCTTTTGTCAAAACTCACTTGTTTATAATACATTTTGATCAATGAACAGTTGTTGAGAGCGAAGGTCTTTGGATCCTTGATTCCAAAACTCTGTGTAGTCTTTTGGATATCAGCGCAGATTTTGTCCAGCTGTACTCGTGTCAGGGGTGGTGATGAAGTCTAAAAAGGTAAATTTGTGCAGCAGGCGGAGCGAATGAGATGCAAGAATAACTCTCAGGAAATTGGTAAAACTTACAGTAGTTTCCGGCGCTGCTTCGATTTGAGGTGCCACATACGTGGGTTGCTGTACAGACCCCTAAATACTTCCTAATTTTATTTTTTATTAAGAAAAGTAGGCGCTGGTTCAAAGTCGCTATGGTCATTTATGGTGCTTAATCTAGGTTAAAACTTTCTAATGCAACTTGCAATGGAATAGCATATATTAAACCTAATTAAATTTCTACATCAAGACATTTTTCTTTTTGAAAGTAGTTTTACTCACTTATGAGTTAAAGATTTGATTTGAAATTTTTATATTGACTAAGTCATATTTTTTGAGCTTGCTATTTGGAATCGGTCTCAAATGGAATATCTTTGATGCTGACTTACAAGTGGTCCAAATGATGATTGCTGTTGTGGATGTGGATACGTCTCTGATGTTTGAGGCGTATTCTACAATTATAATATTCTATGAACTGAGAAAAATGCTATCAAGTGTTGACTCAAAAAAATCATTGATCATCGAAACGGGGATATAAACTTTGACTCGACTGTTGCTCAAAATGGTAAGGAAGCTTTGAAAAAGGTATCTGATGACTGAAGTTTTATAGAAAAAATAAGTTTGCAGATACTTCTTTTTGTGGTGTTGAAATTTTCCACTTCTTTTTATGTAGTTGGTATCTACTCATTTGAAAGTTTAAAAAAGCTATCTCTCAACCAAACCTCCTGCGTTATTCTTAGTCGTAAACTACTGCCAACTGCATAAGATTACAGAAGTAAATTCAGCTGTAACCCACCTCTGTAAAATCTCCGCTCTTTCCGAATTGAAACTTTATTTGACGCCTGGGCATAGGGCTTGATGACAATTCACTCAATGACGACTCCGCTTCTTTGTTCGCTTCGTTGTGCTGCCTGCAAAAAAAATTTTGGAACTTGCTCTACTGGCTTGATCCGAACGAACCTATACCACTCCTTATAATATTGTTCATAGTACGCTTTCAGATACTGCTCTTGATCCTGATAGTTTGGAATCTGTTGAGGATTTGGCAGCTGTAATCGATTAATGAAATCAGATCTGATAAATCATATTGGAAAAAATTATTACAATCTGAATTCTATGCACATGGTATAAATATACACTACGATCTATTAGGTTGTCCAAAAAATCCTACTTCAAGTAGATTGAGCTGTTTTTATTTCCCAAAAGACTCAGGGTAACATTCGATAAAGCGGTGCCAGCTCAACAAAAAGATCACCAAAGAACCACCCAAGTCGTAATACAGTTGAAATGCGGAGCTAAAAATCAAAAATTTTCAGCTACCCTAAAAATCGGATCTCCTTCCAGAAAATTCCTACGGACTTCCAACTTGGTCCTTATATAGTAGACACACACATAGTAATACCGAAAATGTATTGGTGGATCAAAATTGAGTGGCAAAAATAGTCTGGAAATGCCAAAATGCCGATTTTTCCGGATTTTTCATGTGATTAATATTTCTCGATTATAAGAGCACATACACGGAACTTTCAAAATACTTAGTTTATTTTGTAGTATACAATGACATGTGGGAGGAGGGGCTAAGGGCAGAGTTTGCCATTTTTTGACTACCTTTTTTCTCGCTTTTGGCTTCAAACTTTACATGAAATGCGACTTAGGCGGATCCCAGAAGGTCTTTGTATAGCTTGATCTGCTCTAAGACAGTACTGGAAAAACAAAAACAGCTTGTGTTCTTCAAAAAGGAGTTTACTTTTACGCACAGAGTGCAATCTCACAAAGTTGCAAAGACTTCACTATACGTGGTGAAGTCATTGTGCCGAAAAATTACTTACTATGTTTTGAGCTGGGTAAGATGACTCTTCTCTGCTTGATCCTTGTCTGAAAGTATATTTTAATCAACTGATTTCTTTGAGAAAATTCTTTGTAATTTCATTGCTGCACTATAAACAGCACACTAACTTGAGAATGGGTTGAACGACTACGGCTAACGTTTTTGGCATCGATGTGGTAGTAGGAGAAATTTGGAAATCATGCTGAAATATATGTAATGTGCTTGCTATAACTGGAATTCTCAAAACTTCGACCAACCTTGTCTGTTTCTATAGAATCTGTCCAGCCACCAAGGAACGTGGAAGCTGCGCTATCCTGCAATTGTAATATTTCTGCTTCAAAAAAGGAAAAAATCTATACAATTGAAGAATACAAACAAGTAATATAAATATGAACTAGAAAAACTTCAACGCACATTTACCAGAGTTTTATACTGTCGTATTTACCCAAACAAGCAGAACCCTAATGCATTACCTAATCATAACTGTAGGTTAGCTTTTTTGGGGCTTAGGACTTTGTACCAAAGAAGAATGATTGCTGATCTGTTATTAGGGTTTGAAATATTCAGCTCTGAAGTGCGCTTGGATTCCTCTGATTTCTAACTTATTCGTCCGACCAATAATCGTCATTTCAGCTTGAATTTCTCTTTAGTTCGGACAAAAAGATAGCGCAAAAAAAGGTACAAGACTCATTTGCTTGTCGCAAGTGTCGCTTACCAGTGAACCAGTAGTTAAAGGTGCTAGATTGCATCCGCGCGCTTCGGGACCGCACCGCGGTTTCCCGCTATTTGATGGTTTTTGAATGCAGCTTACATTTCTTTATACAGTTGTCCTAAAAAGATGTGCACACTGTTTGATTGTTGATGACTTTCTCGCTTTCATGTCTTTTGCCGAGCTTGAGGTACCATTCTTTAGAGCGAGGTTCAGCTTGAATTTAAAGTATGGAGCGACTTATCAGCAGCTCTTCGTTATTGTAGGATTACGGTAGGAACTTCGAGGAGGATTTTAGGCCATTGAAAGCGGTATTTTGCCTTAGAAAAAAGCTAAAAACCAGAAACTCTTGAACTGGGTTAATCGAAGTTGCTGATTCTAAATATGAAAATTGCACTTCAGTACACTGTTTCTTTCATGAGTTAAATTTAAGGTAACCAACTGATTTCCCAGTGTGTGTCAGAAATGTGAAGACGCCATCAAGAAAGCTCGAAAAACTGGTGGAAATTTATGTAGTGGAATTGCACGACTGAAAACCTTGCTACGCAAATTTTAGGGTTTTTTTTTCGAAATTATTTCATCAAACGGCTTATTCCACAGTAGCGCTGTATGCTGAAAGTTCACACCGTAATCCTACAGTAACGAAGAGAGATTGGTAATTCGCTCCATACTTTAAATCTAAGTTTATACTCGCTCTACAGAATGGGACCTCAAACTCGGCAAAAGACATGAAAGGAGAGTTATTAACGATCAAACAGTGTGCACAACTTTTTGGGACCCTCTGTATATTAGATTGGACAAACTTCCTTTCGGAATGGTTAGTCACGTGAACTCATATAAACCGAAAAATTCTTTACTAAACATCAACTTCCTCAATTGTGTTTCGGTGATGAAGAGTGAAGGTCCATATCACAATGTCCTTATGCTCTCTATTCAATAATCTTTTCTGGACTCGTTATATTTGGCCCAAAGCTGTCCCATTCAAACTATTTGTGATTATCGATCGTCATGATACTTATACACATCCTATCTCATACTCAGCTTTCCAACGCCACATCGTTTGCTACTTGCTGCAACGTGGCTTTCTAATCAAACTATTATAACAGTTCTAACCCATGATAACGTGCTTATTATGTTTATATACTCTTAACAGCTCTGGTCCATTTGTAGATGGACCCAGAAGTAAATGATGGCTTCTATGCCTTGTGTGTACTATGATGTATTTATATATCATATTTATTTATTTATTTATTTATTTATTTATTTATTTATTTACTTATCAAATAAATATAATATGTGCAATAAATCATTAAATAAATATCTTTGATCCATAAGAGAGAAAGAAATTTGATGTGGTTGAGGTAAGTATTAGGAGAAAATCCTTATGAAGGGGAAAAAGCCAACGTCGAGAAATGACAAAGATTATTTACGGGAATGTGTTCTAGAATTGTCCTTTGTTTCAAAAAAAAACTTTTTTGTTTTGTGATAACAGTTTAAAATTGCGTATAAATTACACGTGGTTCTAGTTAAAAGGGGCACATGTCTCCACCACTAAGACATTGATCAATACGTTTTATGTTTTTGAGATTAGAAAGCAAGGTATATTTCGTGCTGTAAACAGTTTAGTTTGAAAAAAATATCTATTTTCCAAACTTTCATGTTTAGTTTTAATCAAAGTTTTCTGAGCAACGATTTGGCTCACCTTCTCCATAGACTTGTTTCCTCTGATTCGTTTTTCTGTCATAACACTCACTGATTTGATTCCGTGCACTCTTCGGCGAGGTTTTCGTTTCTTCAATTTTCTTCTTCTTTTGGCCTGAAATAAGATGATTTTCAACGACTAATTAGCAAATTTCTGAAAAAGGTAGCTTACCGGTTGATCCGCGCTAAAGTCGATATCTACAGATTGACTCTTTTCTTGCTCAGAATTCTGCTGTTCAATGCTATTCCCTCCATCGAAATCATTTTCCGTGTAGAAGGAGGAGGAGCCATAACCTCTGTCAAACTCCTCCTGGGGACCAGCACTTCCTTCATTTACAACTCCTTTTCGAGTATGCTTCCGACTTTTTGATTTCGGTGCTTGCGCCTTTGAACCAAATCTATCCAGAAGTTCTTGATGACGTTTGGCAATTTTGTACTCAAGCTCTTTTGGAACCCGTCGGGTGGACGAACGCTTATACGAGTTTTCGTGGTTTTCTTCCTTAAGCTCGGCTTTTAGGTGTTCCCTTTTCTGTTCGTGACGTTTGGCTTCTTCGGCTCTTTTCCTTGACTCTTCTTCAATCCTTCTTTGTCTTCGTTTCTCCTCCAATTCCTTCATCTTCCTTTCCTCTTCTTCTTCTTCCTGTCTTCTCCGTTCTTCCTCTTCCTCTTCTCTTCGCTTTCGTTCCTCTTCTTCATGCTTCTTTCTCTGTTCTTCTTGTTGCTGTTCTATCCTTCTTCGCTCCTCTTCTTGTTCTCGAGCAACTCTCAGCCGTTCCTCCTCTAGCCATTTCTTTCGTTCCTCTCCTTCCTCTCGTTTCCGCTGCTCTTCTTCCAGTTTCTTCCTTTGCTGCTCCTCTTCTGCCAATCGCTTCCTCTCCTCCTCCAACTTCTGCCTTTGTCTTTCCTTTTCCTCCTCTAGCTTACGAATCTCTTCCTGCTTCTGTAATTCCAATTCGGCCAGCATTTTCTCTTGTCTTTCTCTTTCTCTTTTTGCCTCGATCAACTTCCTCCTCTGCTCTTCCAGCACTCGCATTCGCTTTCTTTGCGCTCGAGCTGCCTCAATTCTGGCTTGCTCTATCGCTTGTTCCTTCATGATCCTCTCGATTTCTTCTTTCTTTTGCTGCTTCACTCGCTCTCGTTCTTCCCTAAGTTCTTGGATTTTCCTTTGTTCCCATTCAATTGTCCGCGCCAGTTCCAGCTCTTCTTTTTCCTTTTGCGCAATTTCGTGCGTCGGTTCCTCCGTGGCAACAACTTCTCGTGCATGTTGTGTAATGTTGTCTCGGATTCGATGCTCGCTTGAGTCGTCAATGTTCTGTATAGAAGAAAATATATATTTATCAAAAAATAAATAAAATATTTTTTGCCATTGACGAGAGCCGTTTATTTTCAAGCAAAATTTAAAAAAAATAGAAACTGGATACTTTCTATTGATTTTCCTTTTAATTTCTTTGAGTCAAAGAGCAACTAGCCAGTACGGGGAATCTCATTTCAATTTGTTTGTAGGACTGGACCGAAACTCCTGTCAACATCGAGAAGATGCAAGACTTAACTTATGATATATTGTCATGTTTTACAGATATCAAGATTATTTAGTGCAAATGTACACTAAGGAGTTTTTTTTTCGGAAGAATGTTTGCTGCGACCACAAATTAGCTACGAATCTCGATCTTGTTATCAACACAAACATTTTTTCCACGAGCGTATGTGTTGTAAATTTCAAACTCGCTCAAAAAGGAGCGAAGGCCATATGCGTCACTCTTGAATGCTTCATGCGTTCAGTACGATGAATGGAATTTTTTTTAATAGTAGGATATGTAAAATCATAATCCATCGTACACGATAGCGTTTGAAAGGTTAGAGGGAAAAACTTTGATTGAGAGGTAATAAAGTTGATTAATCCAGTAGATTCAATCGCAAACTTCATTGAAATAAGTCAAGCCTGGTTCTGGTTAGGATTTATGCATTTTCTAGTTTTAGCGAAAGCAAAAAAAGTTAAAAAGAGAGTAGTTCGAAGGAGTAATTAAAAGTTATTCGAGTAGTCAAAAAAGGAACACAACAAATTGCAAAGTTCAAGTCATCACAATCGTCAAGGCGGCTCTAGAAGATAATTGCTAAAAAAGGAGGAGTTAAAGGCAGTGTCCATCCAAAATTAAATCCCATGTTTTTGCCATTGTGAGACCTTTCCGTGGCCCTGCCCTCATGAAGCTCAGATTGTCCAAAACCCCCAAAAACCCGATTTCTGAGCACCCTGTTTTGAGAACGAGGACGGCACTCAGTACGTGGGCGGAGCTTGGTAGGATCTGGGCGGGGCTTGATGGCACTTTGGCTATTCCAGGCTTATTATCTCCATTCAGAGAAACATTAGGGGGCCGACCAACGCAGATGCTCCATGTCCCTCTCCTGGGGCCTACATTCAAAATCGACAATAATCGGAACAGGTTAGATTTAGCATGGATACTGCTCTCAAGTAAAGTACAATCTGTTGGCGTTTGACTCCATTTGAACATGGACGAATTCAAACTGTGTAATAACTCTCATAAGAGATAAGTCTACATTAAAATGCCCGTTGTAGGCTTTTAAAAAGAGCTGACATAGATAATGAGACTGTAAGTATTTGTTTACAAATATTAAAGGAGCAAAAAATGTGAGAAGATAGCATGCCCTTTGTTAGCAGCATTTATTATGAGCATTAAACCTATGCGACAAGATGATCAAGAAATTTGCTCTGGAAGTATGGCAGACAACTTTCTCTACTTTCGTTTTTCTTTTTACCCGATGTAAGCTCAATCCCTTGTCTGGAGGCTTTACCGTGAAAACGATTCGAGATTTAATTCTTTCTAGAACGCGTTTGAGTTTGAAACACCTTTTTCTCTGAAACCAGTAACAAGACAAATCTTGCCGTTAAGCTAGGGTAATTCTCATCTAACTGCTCGCTATTCCAGCTTCAGCCAACACGTAATTCAGGTGTTAATTGTTCTATCTTCTTCTGGACAATAGAAACTGGTTTTTCGTTGTAATCGCTGACGTCAGGAATTCTTATGACTTTTTTTGCTTGCATCAATCGGCTAATCTTAGTGCAAAATGCTTAATCGATTCCGCTGCTATGGGAATGAAAAACTAGCAAATCATTGTCGTACATACATAGGGTTTTTTTATCAACAATTGGGATTCTTGTTCATTCGTTGTTATGTAGATGTTGTAACTAGTGTAATTGCTACCCGGCACAAAAACCAGAACCAGGAACATTTGCGGATAGCCTAATCTGAAACAATGGCGCAGTGCATGAGTGTAATCGTTGATGTAATTGGAGACTGGCTACAATTGATGCAAAAGGGAAACGGAGAGAAACTATGAGTTTGTAGGTGGCAAAATGATCAACTCGTGGGCCAGGGCTTGGCGCACGTGGTTATGAGTAAGCTGGATCGTTTTTGGGACAAAAAGAAAAGAGGATATCGTTTTTGTGGCCGAAAAAAATGCAAAAAAAAGGTTACATTTTTAGTCGACATTCCGTTTTTCGAGGGTATTTTACTTTTAGGGTTTATGGTCAAAACGGACTTCGTAAAATTTGAAAGTTAAGGGGGACTGTGACTTTTTTTTGCATTTTCGGAAAGCCACCTCGTGCTGAGGCCCTGCTCGTAGCTGCAACAATAATAGAGGAGCTGGAAATTTTGGTTTGGGGCTTTTCAAAAATGAGAAAATTTTTGGACTCTTCTAACTGATTGGAAATATTCACAGCTAGAGTATCAATGACTTCATTGACTGAAAAAAATTTGTAAACGCCAAGCTAGCCTTTTTGTCGTCATTGATAACGATTCTGTGAGTATCTGTTCATGCCAATTCAAAAAAAGAGGATTAAATGCATTTGTGTAAAAATTGTTTCAAGGGTTGAAAAAAAATGATCCCAGAAAACAATTCAAAGAAATGATAACAATGAAAAAACTAGACTCTGTTTTACAGAAAACTTATAATTCTCTTTGCAATCCATTTATCTAATGAAAAGTCAAAAATTCTGCAATCTTCATAATTTTTTGTTTGTTCGAACGAAAAAGTGAGAACATAGCAATGTAATTTGTTTATCTGATCTTAATCTTACGCGGAGAATAAATCATATAGTCGTAACATTTAGGACGTCAATTCGTGCGCTCTTTCACTTTTCCAGACAGCTTTATGAAGGAAAAAGAACATTAGGAACAGAATTGCAGTATTTAATACTGAAAGAGCTGTACAAATAAAATTTTGCTTTTATGATAATACAAAGTTTATTTTCTGCCACATAATCGACTTCCTAGCATTCTTTGTATTAGCGCTCCACGACTCCAGAAACTTATTTTTATCCTTCGCATCCCTAAGAAAAAGTTCGATTTTTGGCGCAAATCGGAGACAAGGATGGTTTCGTCTCGCATAGATGAAATATTACCTCGGCTAACGACATAGGAATGAGATATTTTGAGATTTTGATATATTAAGATTTTGACGATAAAGGAAAGATCTTACCTCTTCCAGTGAGAAGTTATCAAATTTCACAGGAACATTGCCAGTGTGGAAATTTTTCCTGGCTTTGGCTATTAGAACCAGACCAAGCAGAGTGAGCACCAGGCCCTTCATCGCTGACGAAGGCTATGGTGAACTGGAGATTCGTAAGCTGCTGGACAGAATGCCCGGAGTTGGAATGTGGCGTGTTCTGTAAGAAACTCATTTAGGTTATGTTATCTTTATAGCTATGAAACTCCATCGTAATTCATGGATAAACGGCAAACCAGCTGAGACGAACACTTCAAAGGCAGGGAATGGCGAAAAAAGTAGCGTCTAGCCAAGGGGGATGGCTTGCCCTGCGAGTTTTCTTGGAAAGCAATTGAGATAAAATTAGTCCGAGATCCAGGCATGACTGATAGCGGATTATATGATCAGAAGCACTTGAAAAACTGTAGGATTGGAAGCTTGAAAACTATCGAGGAGCACAATACTTGGAGCGCAAAAAAACCGAGCTACATTGAAAAATGTTTTCTGTTTCCTTGGCTTCTAAATTTACTTAACTTTTTTGGTTTTTTATTTTTTAAAATTTTTTATCTAGTTGTTTTAGTTTATTTAAGTGTGTTTATTTGAAATGCCCGAACAAAAATATTCGATTAGAACGAATAACATATAATTCCTTGACTAGCATAAAAATTAATGCGGTGAAGCACGAATGAAAGCGAAAAAGAAAGCGATTTCCCACTAGCCAAAATTTTATGTTTCACTTTTTAGAGCCCCAAATCATAGAAGACCATTTTTTGGAAAGGAATCAAAGATACTTGAAGGAATGAAGAGGAGTTTGAACAACTGCATTGATTACAATAATTAAGCAAAATAATACTGTTTTGGATGAAGGGATAAAATGGTTGAATGAAGATAAATGAAGATGACTGAAAAATGAATGAATAAATTCGAACTAACTGATGAATGTACATGGATGAATAAATGAACGTGACAATGAATGAATCAATGAAAGAATGATTCAATGAAGGAAGGAAAGAATGAACGAATGATTGAATAAATAAATTAATAAGCAAATGAAAATGAATGAAAAGCATGGACGACTTGCTGAGCGAATGACGCAAGGAGGACTTGATACATGAAAATTAATGGAAGTGAGTAAATGAAGGAACATGTATATGAGCGAATGACTGAATGAATGAAAGACTGACTGATTGATTGCATGAATGAATGATTGTATGTTCGTATGTAGGAATGAATGGATGAATGAATGAATAAATGACTGGTTGATGAATGAATTAGAAGTTAAAATGTAGGGAGAATAATTTAGAAGTTTATGAATAAATAAGTGAATTATAAAAGAACAAACTGAAGAGATTGAAACAATAAAAAATAGCGTAATTTTTACATTTAAGTTGGAAACCGCAATCTGCCATGATTAACCATTAACCACTAAACTAGTGTTTGAAGTCATAAAAATTGTGCCAAGAGAGATTCAGTGGCTTAAGTCATGAAAGGTGCGCAAAAATGCGATTACAGTCTAAATCGAAATCTACTTTGACTTTCGAAAGCGAAATGTGACAGCGTGAGCGAAAGTCGGACTCCATAGTAATCGTGTTTGTTATCGTGGAACCATCTTCGGGGGGTGTAATGGTCACTCAACTCGACGGATTAGCGGATACGGCTTTTTATGGCTAACCCATGGATTCGCGCTAGTATCGGCTAGTTGATCGATCTGCGAAAGGTTTAAAGAGGATTTGGATATGTTTTTCTTGGAAATCTGCAAAAATACAAGGGCCCATTTTCAAAGGTCACTTGACTTATGGTCAGGATGTAGCTACACGAAAGAAAAAAGTAAATAAATAAGAACATTGATTTCTATTATCAAAATTTTCCAACAAACAATCGATAGGATGACGAAAGACTCATGAATGACGACAAGATGAAATGAGTGTGTGGTTTTTTACTGAACCACTAAGGAAGTCCGAAGGACACCTGAGAGAGATGAAGTGCATGTCCCCGTGGATCTCTAGACTCTAAACGTTCGCGTTTTCTTCAAAGTCTCTTGAAGTCAGAGAACAAGTTGTGATGTCATACATTAGAGTGACGCAACCTCTTCATCATCAATAGTGGAAGTGGATGGAATGCAGGATTATCTCATATAAAATTTTTAATTAAGTAGTGCGGAGTTGCAGTCCAGTTCACTCTCAGGCCAATATACTTCACGCGATTTGGCAATACTCCAATTGGTGATAACTCATCGTAAGAAATTTTGGTAAGAACGGAAGATAGGGCAGTTTATTAACCCACAAAGTTATATGCTGTGAATTTGGGGCCTGTCAGCATCGAATTTGACGATATCTGGCAAATTGCCAGATCGCGTGACGATTGAAATCGCGTGAGGTATGCCTTGGGCCCAAAAAGGATTTTTTCATCCATTTACTCTAAAAAGTATCATATATGCTCTTAGATGTTGAAAAAATCATTTGCATTGCCGCTATAAAAACTAAAGGGAAAAACGCTCAAAAATCGATTTTCAAATGGTTTTAGAAGATAATAATCAAATTCAGAATCTAAGTTTTGTTCTCATTTGTAAATAGAGAAGTCTCACATGCCTTTGCAAGTGACTATGGTTCCACTCTCTATCTGAGTTTCTGACTGTTTTATCGTAAATATGCAATTTATAACATAATTTCCTACATATCAAGCTGTTCAAAAATTTACAAAAATTCCTCGTAGTTTTTAGTTCAAAGCTTAGAGTAACCTGAATTTGTAACGAATTTGCTAGAAAATTCCAATTTTCAAATTTGCTATTGCGTCCAAATTCCACCTTTGGAAAGAAGAAAGGTACACCTTACCTGCTCCAGTTACTACGGTTTTGGTTATGATCTACCTCTGCATGGTGTGACGTTAGATTATGTAATATGTACGCCATACGTATTGCGACTCCTTGCGAAAACCCTCACCTTTCAGTGAGTGTTCATTTATACATTTTAGAACTTCTAAAACTAAGGAAAAATAAATCAAAAGGTGCGAGTGACTTATTACGTAACCTAATAGATGTGGATCAATTATTGCATAATGCGTGGTTCATAACGCTAGGGTGGACAAATGCGAAAATGGCTCCCGATGGAGAAAATGGTCACTTTCTTCTGACTACAGCAAGCAAGATTAGAATCGAAAGAGTTTGCAAGGGTGAGCCATCGCCACAGAATAGATATTAAATTGGGACAGAAAAGAGCATAAATTACGACTGTAGGAATTCCGCGGTAGTTTGAGATCTCCGACCAACACGTAAATTATATCGTAAATCTTGACGATGTAAAATCTCATCTGAGGTGAGATTTTGTACGAAGGAATAGGCCTTATAGTGTTGTGATAAAGCCTCTTTTAGTCAAAAGCATGAAAAAAAAAGAGTGTGATGGTACGCTATGGCGCGAAGGATTAGGGTTCAATCCTTGCACGTGAGTCAGCAGTATAAAGGGGGTCTAAAAATCGTCTGTTAATAGGTTGTGCCCCTAAAATTATCAAGGTTGAGCTTTACGATTCGTTTTTGGCATATAGATCATCAGAATTGACAGTTAAGTGCACTTACGATGGCAACAACACTTGCGCGGAAAAAAAACGTTACGCTCGTCATGCCGACAACATTTGCGCGTAAAAAATGGCCTAAACCGCACTCAAGTTTGTGTTTCAAGGCCATATTTTACAAACATTGGTCATCATTTCCTCATCAAAGTCATAAAGTGATCAAAGAATCTTTTGAAAAGTAAGTTTTTCTTTTTTATGTGAACTACTTAGTAGCAAAGGGGGAGGAGGCGCATTTGGATAAAACTATGAAGATGGTAGAAAGCAAACAGTATGAGGAAAGAGATTTTAACGAAAAATTCATCTTTTTCATTTTTCATAGAATTTACATCTTGTAAGAAGGGGAAATTCAAAACTAGATGAGACATGATTCCCACGATGTCAAACAAATTTTTAGTCTAGATCGAGGACTACGTAAGAAATAAACTATGAGAAGTCCCCCAATGACCCACAACTATTAAATGTCGACAAAAAACTGCCGAATAGTGGAACAACATCGCTAGAGCGTCGAGCGCGAAAATGGCTAACGGGGCGAGAAAAGGAAAAAATCGCGTCTTGGATCGCTCTTGATCGACGGCTCGAAACCTGATGCCTGCTGTTGCTTAGGCGATGATAGTGACGAAAGCCACGAGATGCGCAATGGTACGGGAAGAACGGGTAAGACGGGAGGGGGAGGGGGGAGAGGGGAGGGGAGGGTAAGGAGGAAGTGGACTGTTCTGGTCGAGGATTGTAAATTACTTTCAGTTTGGGTCAGCAATGTTTCCGAGATAGTTAATGAAAATAAGAATTTTCTTAAACCACCAAATTAGCTTTTTTAGTTTTGCTAGAAAATTTCTTCTGCATTTTTTAAAGGAATTTTTCCCTTCAAATTGCAACAACTTCACAGCTTTTCCTTCCTTAATCGATTTATTCCAAAATCGTCAGTAAATTAGAGACATGAGAAAAAAGCTTGTTTGATAAACGAGAACGTGGTCACCAATCACATTAGCGAAACGGACTCGATGAAGCTTTTGGTGAGCTAAACCATGAATTTCTCGCCATGAGAGATAGGCAAGCGCGGACGAGAACTAGAATGTGCCGGAGTACCCTTGGGTGAAACTGCATTCCACGGCAATGAGACTATCAGAGAACTTCTGCTGTCATTGCCTTTCTGCAAAATTATGTTTGGAACTCCAAAAGTATCGTACGTTCTTTGTGTCGCTGACTTGTTGTATTTCTTATGGAACGCCTAAGGCGTACGAATCAAAATTAAAATTGAAATTGTTTCTTCTTCGAGATGCTTCTAACAAAGGAAGGATATTTGGAAGAAATGGCATTTCCATATGAGATGTATACTACCTTATAAAGCATGGAACGCTGATTCCAACTCTGCTATCGGTATCTGCAAAGCGCTCCTGAGAGGGGAGTTCTGGGAATTTTTGAGGTAAAAATTCAATGATTTGGCTGGGATAAAAATAAGTATTGAGGGCTTTCCGACGCTTGTTAGGAGTAATGAATACTATAACTTTATTAGAATAAAGGTCTTTGTCCCATAAAACATCCCG